GAGGAGGAGGAGGAAGAGGACTGGAAGGACACCAGAAACCACCAAGAGAGAACCGGGAGCGAGAAACGAGGAATTGTTTTCGAGACGAAGCTGCGCCCACTGCGAATGGGCTTCAACCGATACAAAAACACCATTTCGGTCAGTCATCTGCGCGAATTGTAGCCGCGATGGGTGCTGGCGCCAGCGCGAGCTGTAGCTGCGCCAAGGGATATGACCGACAACATACCTGTCAGGTCAGAGGTCGCCGTGCGCGCGTGGATAATTCGCCTTACGAAGTACCCAACCATATGCAGCTGCGAGTGCCGCGAGGGAGATGAGACGAAGGAGGGGTGCGCGCAAACTCCGAGTAGCGCACGCGGTATAGCCGTCTGCCACGAAACGTGTGAAGGGTGTGCCGACATGAGTCGGGATGACTCCTGCGAACGCCGCCATTCGGGCCTTCTGTGAAGCTCCCTGTGGGGCCACGAACCGTGTGAGGTGTGTGCCGAAATAGGGGCGGCGGTGCCATGCGAACTTTCCCACTGGGGCCTTCGGTGGAGCTCCCTATGGGGCCACGAAACGTGTGAGGGGTGCGCCGAAATGGGGGCAGCGATGCGATGCGGACGCCCCCACTGGGGCCTTCGGTGGAGCTCCCTATGGGGCTACGAACGTGTGAGGGGTGTGAGGGGTGTACCGGCATGGGGCGGCGATGCCGTGCGGACGCTGCTGCTGGGGCCTTCGGCGGAGCTTCCCATGGGGCCACGAACTGTGTGACGGGCGTGCCAAAATGGAGCGGCGGTGCCATGCAGACGCTCCCGTTGGGGCCTTCGGTGGAGCTCCCCATGGGGCCACGAACCGTGTGAGGGGTGTGCCACAATGGAGCGGCGGTGCCGTTCGGACGCTTCCGCTGGGGCTTTCGGTGGAGCTCCCTATGGGGCTCGAAGCGTGTGAGGTGTGTGCCAAAACGGGGCGGCGGTGCCATGCGGACGCTGCCGCTGGGGCCTTCGGTGGAGCTCCCTATGGGGCCACGAACTGTGTGAGGGGTCTGTCAACATGGGGCGGCGATGCCATGCGGACGCTCCCCCCGGGGCCTTCGGTGGAGCTCCCTATGAAGCCACGAACCGTGTGAGGGGTGTACCAAAATGGAGCCGCGGTGCCATGCGGACGCTCCCGCTGGGGCCTTCGGTGGAGCTCCCTATGGGGCCACGACTCGTGTGAGGGGTCTGCCAAACTGGGGCGGCGGAGCCGTGCGGACGCTTCCGTTGGGGCCGTCGGTGGAGCTCTCCATGGGGCCACGAACCGTGTGAAGGGTGTGCCAAAATGAGGCGTGAGGGGCGTGCCAAAATTGTGCGGCGGTGCCATGCGGACGCTCCCGCTGGTGCCTTCGGTGGAGCTCCCTATGGGGCCACGACTCGTGTGAGGGGTGTGTCAAAATGGAGCGGCGGTGCCATGCAGACGCTGCCGCCAAGGCCTTCGGCAGAGCTCCGTATGGGGCCACGAACCGTTTGAGGTGTGCCAATATTGGGGCGGCGGTGCCATGCGGACGCTCCCCCCGGGGCCTTCGGTGGAGCTCCCTATGGGGCCACGAACCGTGTGAGGGGTGTGCCAAAATGAGGCGGCGGTGCCATGCGGACGCTCCTGCTGAGGCCTTCGGTGGAACTCCCTATGGGGCCACGAACCGTGTGAGGGATGTGCCAAACTGGGGCGGCGGTGACGCATGCAACCGTTGCCACGTGGGCCTTCGGTAAAGCTCTTTCTGGTGCCACGAGCCGTGTGAGCGGCGCGGCGCTGACGATGACGATGATGATGATGATGATGATGATGATGATGATGATGCTGATGATGATGATGATGATGATGATGATGATGCTGATGCCGATGCTGATGCTGATGCTGATGCTGATGCTGATGCTGCTGATGATGATGATGCTGATGATGACGATGACGATGACGATGACGATACTGATACTGATGCTGATGCTGATCATGAGCATGAGCATGACCATGATCATGATCATGGTCATGATCATGATGATGATGATGATGATGCTGTTGTTGATGATGATGATGTTGATGCTGATGATGATGCTGATGATGATGATGATGATGATGATGATGATGATGATGATGATGATGATGATGATGGTGATGACCATGATCATGATCATGATCATGATCATGATGACGATGCCGATGGCGATGACGAGGCGGATGGGAAGAGGGAGGAGGGGGAGGAGGAGGAGGAGGAGAGGAGATGCGAGGAGACGCGGGGCGCTGTCTCTTCAGAATGGTGACCCAACACCAAATGATGGTCGGGAAAAGCAGAGGGGGAGGGGGGCACGGGGATCCGGCAGGAGTGAACTTGAAGAGGCAGGATCAGCGCCCGCCCACACACATACACACAACACAACACACACACACACACACCACACACAATTAGCCTGACGAAGGACCCTGCAAGTGCCGCGAGGGAGATGAGACGAAGGAGGTGTGCGCGCAAACTCCGAGCAGCGCACGCGGTATAGCCTTCTGCTACGAGACGTGTGAAGGGTGTGCCGACATGAGTCTGGAGTACTCCTGCGAACGTCGCCATTGGGGTCTTCTGTGGAGCTCCCTATGGGGCCACGAAGCGTGTGAGGTGTGTGCCGAAATAGGGGCGGCGGTGCCATGCGGACGCTCCCGCTGAGGCCTTCGGTGGAGCTCCCTATGGGGCCACGAACCGTGTGAGGGGCGTGCCAAAATGGTGCGGCGGTGCTATGCGGACGCCCCAGCTGGGGCCTTCGGTGGAGCACCTGCTGGGACCACGACCCGTGTGAGGGGTGTGTGTGTGTGTGTGTGTGTGCCAAAACGGGGCGGCGGTGCCATGTGGACGCTCCCGCTGGGGCTTTCGGCAGAGCTCCTTATGGGGGCCACGACTCGTTTGAGGGGCGTGCCAAAATGGGGCGGCGGTGCCATGCGGACGCTGCCGCTGGGGCCTTCGGTGGAGCTCCCTATGGGGCCACGAACCGTGTGAAGGGTGTGCCAAAATGGGGAGGCGGTGCCATTTGGACGCTCCCGCTGGGGCCTTCAGTGGCGCTCCTTATGGGGCCAAGAACTGTGTGAAGGGTGTGCCAAAATGAGGCGGCGTTGCCATACGGACGCTCCCGCTGGGGCCTTCAGTGGAGCTCCCTTTGGGGCCACGAGCTGTGTGAGGGGTGTGCCAAAATGAGGCGGCGGTGCCATGCGGACGCTCCCGCTGGGGCTTTCGGTTGAGCCCCCTATGGTGCCACGAAACGGGTGAGGGGTGTGCCAAAAGTGGGCGGTGGTGCCGTGCGGACGCTCCCGCTGGAGCCTTCGGTGGAGTTTCTTATGAGGCAGGGGGGTGTGCCAAAATGGGGCGGCGGTGCCATGTGGACGCTCCCGCTGGGGCTTTCGGCAGAGCTCCCTATGGGGCCACGAACCGTGTGAGGGGCGTGCCAAAACGGGGCGGCGGCGCCATGCGGACGCTCCCGCTGGGGCCTTCGGTGGAGCTCCTATGTGACCACGAACCGTGTGAGGGGTGTGCCAAAATGAGGCGGCGGTGACATGCGGACTCTCCCGCTGGTGCCTTCGGTTGATCTCCCTATAGGGCCACGACTCGTGTGAGGGGTGTGCCGAAATGGGGCGGCGATGCCATGCGGATGCTCCCGCTGAGGCTTTCGGTGGAGCTCCATTTGGGGCCACGAACCGCGTGAGGGGTGTGGGGAGGGGGCAGCCGGAGGCGAGGTGAGGTGACGCGGGGCGCCGTCTCTTCAAAACGAGAACCCTACACCACAGGATGGTTTGGAAACAACTCTTTCGCAGATTTTGGGGAATTACTCCCTGGGTTGGCACACACAACCAGTGGCGACTACAGCTTCGTACGCGGGCCTGACTGACAGTTCGTGGCGTTATGTTTGGCAGCAGGGGGAAGCGGATGATGATGATGATTCAAGAGGGGGAGGCGCAGGAAAAGGAGGGCGATGAGAAGGACGGGGCGGTAAAGGGGAGGGGCAGGGGGAGGCAGATGAGGCGGAGGGGGCGAGAAGGATGAGGCGGGGCAGAGGGTGGAGGAGGTCGAGGATGAGGAAACGGCGGAGGATGAGTGCGCGAGAGGAGTTGACGGGCCCATCTCATCGCTATCGCAGTGCCACCCCTCGTGCCGTGGCCCAGGAGCTTGACGAGGACAACATCTTGTTGGCCCCGCTCCATCCGAACATACTCGGGTCCGATCACCTGGAGCACGCCGATTTCTTGCTGCAGGTCAGAGGGGGGGCGCCCCGCCTGGGCCGTAGCACGAATGACCCGTCCTCATTTACATTCCCAATATGATCCGATCCGAGTGTGAGGTTCATCAGTCTGTACGTTTAGCAAGCTCGCCTCCCTTGGGAGCATGTCGTTTCTGAAAGAGTGACCATCGACAGCGACAGGTGGACTACCAAGCGATGTCGGGAGCCTGTGCGCAGGTTGCATGCGATGCCAGTGCCCCATGGGAGGCGGTAGTATCCCCCGCTGATGCTGCCCTCCTTCCCCGACCTCCCTTCTTGGAAAGGCTTCTGGTTGCACGCAGACAGCCCGCCAGGTAGTCCTGACTGGCCTCAACATGCCCCCCGAGTAGTCCCAGCTGGAGACCGGGGCGGTCTCACTACCGCAACCTTGGGACGCAACGCACCCAGGGGCGCCGCTGGAAGCGGCGTGAGGATGTTGAGACCATCCCATACTACGGGGCCCTTTGAGGCCAGCTGGGGCTATTCGAGGGGCCTGTCGAGGCCAGAGTGGACTACCTGGCGGGGCTGTCTGTTCTAGGCCTCCCAAATGGGATCCGAGCAGAGCTTTTCCACGCCGACGGCATCGATACATCGCCGGCGTCGCCCATACATCGGGGATGCGGCACGATGCTCCGACCCCATCTGAGAGGACTGGAAGCTCTCGACCACCCATTCCCGTGCCGCCGGTCGGGGACATGAGCATGACCATTGTTCTCGACTGCCACCGCGCACCGAGTGGGGGACGTTCTTCGAAGGTAAGGCCGCGAGCGAGAGACGTGCAGCAGAAGATGCACGATCTACCCCTTGCGGAGGGGAGTTCCCCCCCATCGGCGCCTCGAACGGCTCGGCGCCTGGCAGGGAGGGGCCCAGGGCCGTGGGGGAGGCCCCCCTCGGGGGGGTGCTCGGGGCGCCACCTGCCGCTCTTTGAAGCTGTTACAGAGTGCCGAGGAGTACCGGGGAGGCGGCGGGGGAGCTGCACGCGCGTGCGGCGAGGGCTTCGACCATTCGTGGTGACACTTCGAGCTTCGATGATGCGGAGGAGGAGGGGGAGGAGGACGAAAAAGAGGAGGAGGAGGAGGAGGAGAAGGAGGAGGAGTATGTGCAGCAGGAGGAGGATGGGGACCAGTGTAAATCCAAGACTCATAAACGATGTTGTAGTAAACCCTTCCTCCAAGCTCCCTCTTCATAGGACCCTACAAGGGTACATTTCCACTGAAGGGACTGTCTCGTTGGGAAACAACCGTTGGATGACCCTGAACCATGCCAAAACATCATATCATTTGGACTCCGACGCCACGGATCAACCTGACAATTGTATCTAGATTATCTTGAATCATTTCAACACCGCGAAACAACGTGCCTATTGCACCCTCACAGCCCTGAATTTTTTCAAAACAACATTTCGGCTCGTTGGCCATGAGAATCTGCAACATGAGGGAACGAATGTGCGTGGCGCTAAGGCGAGAGCCTTATTGCTAAGGCCTTACGGCCGGTGCCGCCGACCCTGGAGGCCTCGGCCTTCGACGGAGATGGGAGGGAGATGGCGGGCTATTGGCCCCAGGAGGGTGATATTCTGACCCGGGAGCACCCCCCCTGGACCCCCCGCCGGAACTCCCCCCCCCAAAGACCCTCCCCCCCCCCTCCGCGGGGAAGGGATCAAAGGGAAGGGGCTTCCCTTCGACTCAATGACAATGTTGCTTAACTTCGCTGTGGAGGGGCTGGTGTATTTCGCTTTGGTTGAGGACAAGGGCCCAAGGAAAGGGGGGGAGCGGCGACGGATCCAGGGGAAGGAGGGGACGTGATGGCGGCGGCGACACGACGGCGGCAGCGACGGTGATGGCGACGGAGCAGCCCCTGTCACACGCCGACAGGGTCGGCGGATTTCGAAAACGAGCCGCCCTCAATCCGTGAAGCTCTTGCAATGTTGAAATCGAATGTGCGCGGCGCTTAGGCTAGAGCCATCTTTTGCAAACGACCCACCCTCAATCCGTGAAACCCTTGCAAAGTTTGAAAACGAATGCGTGGCGCTGAGGCGAGAGCCACATATAAAAAACGGCCCGCCCACCAACCGTGAAACTCTTGCAATTGTTTACAGAGAATGTGCGCGGCGCTAAGGCGAGAGCCACGTTTTGAAAACCACCCTCCATTTGCAAAATTGTTGCCAATGCTAATCTCCAGGGTCGCAAGCGGTGAGGACGACTCAGGCGAAACGCCCGGCCTGCCCTTTCGACTGGCCTCGGGGTGCAACAGGATGCGAGCTGTCTATAAGGAGAGGAATGGAGGAGGAGGAGGAGGAGGAGGAGGAGGAGGAGGAGGCGGAGGCGTCGGGGCCAGCTGGCGTCGGGTCAGGCGCCCCCCTGGCATTTCTCCTCTCTCTCCCTGCTTTGAGGAGGTGGGGGAGTGGGCAATGGCAAGGTATAGGGGGGGTGCTGGTCTCGCCTCGTCTCGCGGCGGGCCGCGGTGACGCCGCGGGGACGCGACTGCGTGGGTTTGCCATCGCGAGCGCAGCAGCAGGAGGAGGAGGAGGAGGAGGAGGAGGAGAAGGTGGATGAGGAGGAGGAGCGACGGCCAGCTGCTTGCCTCCCCCCCAACAGGGTGGCTTTGCGCGGACACCTCGCGCGGAACTCATCCACGGCATTGTGCCTCGGTGGCCAGACCGATGGCGTATGGGACATGAAAATGCTCCTTCTCGTGATCCCCCGCACCGCTTGCACTTGGTAAGGCCCGGGATTACGGCACAGACAGCTTGTGGGAGTAGTTCGCCGTGGTCCCCACAAGGGAGGAGGGGAGGGGCAGGCTGGGGAGGAGGAGTGAGCGCGAGAGTGACTGCCGATCGCACAATCGCGTTCTCTCCCCGTCCACCTCACCCCTCTTCCCCGCCTGCCTCCAGAGACAGCCACTCTGCATAAACATACACTTCGGGAGGTTCCCCTCCGTACACCCCTGGTGGCGCCGCTGGCGCCTCCCCGTGCGCCCGGGCGCGCTCTGCGCGCTGGGGAAGGAGTGCGGGGAGGGGGGTCCAGCGCCGACCTGAGGAATCCACGCGGGCCTTCAACAGTTTGTGCCTATGCTGTTTGCTGCCCTCCTGTTCCTGGTGGCATCCGGGCCCGCCCCTGCGCTCCCCCCCCTCCGTCTCCCCCCAACCCGTGGTGCCACTCGCGCCCCCACCCGCGCTCTCCGCGCCCTCAGGCCAGGCAGCTGCACGAGGACGGGATGGCGTTGCAGGAATCCTCTCGCTGCTCGCCGCTTGCTTCGTTCCAGGAGGAGGACGAGGGGTAATGGGAGGGGAGAGGGGGGAGGCGGAGGGGGAAGAGGGAGGAGGACGACGGTCGTTCCGCGGGTGTCCCGCGGTTGTCTCAAGTGGTTATCCCGCGTGATTGTCCCGTGTGGTTGTCCCGTGCGGTGGACCCGTCGTTGCCCCGTGGTTTTCCCGTGGTTGCCATCCCGGAACCTCCCCGTCCACGCGAATTGGGAAAGGATGAGGACGAGCGGGGATGAAGAAGGAGGGGCTTTTTTTTGACTGTACTAGGCTCGTTGCAAGTTAGCTTGAGCGCAGCGGCCAACAGGACTGGCACAGGCTGCACACGAGAAGCCCGAGAGCATGGACGCTGAGCTGCTTCCGCTCTCGTCCCGAAAACTGTCGGGAGAGAGGTATTGGCGCTGCGGGAGGGGAGTAGAGGGATCATATACGAGAGAGGAGGAGTTTGCAGCGCCGTGCGAAGAGAGACATCAGCGGGGCAAGAAGGAGGGGGAGGAGGAGGGGGAGCGACGACCAGAATGGGGAGGACTAGGAGAGGTGAGAGAGGGGGGGGAGAGTGCCGGTGGAGCAACGGCGGACGAGCAGGAGGAAGGTCATGATGTTGTTGTAGATGATGCTGATGATGATGATGATGATGATGATGATGATGATGATAATGATGATGATGATGATGATGATGGTGATGGTCATGGTGATGGTGATGGTGATGGTGATTATGATGGTGATGGTGATGTTGATGGTGATGGTGTTGGTGATGGTGATGGTGATGGTGATGGTGATGATTATTATTATGATGTTGATGATGCTGATGATGATGGTGATGATGATGGTGGTGGTGGCAGTGATGGTGATGATGAGGAGTCGGAGGAGGAGGAGGAGGAAGAGGATAAGATCTATCTTCTTACTCCCTCCGCTGCTGCTGACGATTGCCCTTATCCTCCCTCGCTCGCTCCCTCTCTCTCTTTCTCTCTCCCTCTTTGCCCGCCTCTCTCCTCTCTCTCTCTGCCTCTCTCTATTCTGTCCATGTGTTTATTTATCTTGCCACAGAGCTGCCCTCGTCCATGATGGGCGGGCTGGGCGCCAGCGCGCGTCCAGATGGCCGCGCATCTTGCTCTGCTCTGCCCGGAGCGTGGCGCGAGGTCGGTCGAACCATCCGCCAAGGCCCAGTGGCAGAGGAGGACACAGAGGAGGGAGGAGGAGGAGGTTTGGGTGGAAGTTGGTTGAGGAGTGGGAGGAGGAGGAGGAGGAGGAGGAGGAGGAGGAGGAGGAGGAGGAAAAGGGCACAGAGGAGGGAGGAAGAGGAGGAGGAGGAGGAGGTTTGGGTGGAAGTTGGATGTTGAGGAGGAGGAGGAGAAGGAGGAGTAGGAGGAAAAGACCAGAGGAGAAGCAGCAGCCTCGGGGAGGAGGTGGGAATTATCGAGTGGGCTCCCAGTGGCTCACTCTCCCCCGCGAGCTGCTCGCCAAGCTGGTCGGTCGGACCCGCCGCGCGGTGCCCGCGATCGTGCTCCGGGCCGCGCGCCAGGACATCGCCGATCACCTCAACGCCGAGCTGCGGAACCATTGGCTGCGGCGGCGAGCCAGCGTCGGCAGCAAGGACGGGGCTCTCAGCCAGCAGGCTGTGCGCCGCTCAACCTCGTCCTCTTATTTACAAGTAACTCCCCCCTGTCGCGCCCCCAGACGTGTTGGTAGGGCGGGCTGGGCGTTTCGCCTGAATCTTCCGCACCAGTCATGATCTTGTGCATTGAGATCTGCTAGACTTTCACGGATGCTGCGCGGGCCGTTTTCAAATTGTGGCTCTCGTCCCAGCGCCGTGTACACTCGTCTTGAACGTGTGCAGCAGTTTCCCGGGATGGAGGGCGGCCCGTTTTCAGATGTGGTTCACGGCCTTAGAGCCGCGCGCACGTGTCGTAAAAGTTTGCAGCGCCTCCACAGATTGAGGGCGGGCCGCTTCACAGTGTGGTCTTCGCCCCAGCGCCGCGTGCATACTTCGAGAAGGTCTGCAGCAGCTTCCTGGATGGAGGGCGGGCCGTTTCCAAAAGGTGGTTCTCGGTTTGGCTCCGCAAATTAGCAGCAGCTTCAGGGATTGGGGCGGGCTTCTTTGTAAGATGCAATATTCGCCGTAGCACCACGCATATCGGTTTCAAGTGATTGCAACCGGTTGTTCAGTTGAAGTGCAAGGATTGTTGTCGTGGCGCGATTGAGGGTTGTCAGGACGCAGCAGTCACGTTAATTTGCGGTGTTAAAGTCCAAGAAACGATGCTCTGGCGCGATCTTGGACTGTCAGGGCGCAGCAGTCACGCTGATTCGCGGCGCTGCAGTCCCAGGAGTTGTGTGTTTTTTGGCACGATGGAGGTGTCTCCAACCGTTGTTTTTCAGTGTGGCATGTCCCGCGCTGAACACAAATCCTTGACGCTTATGGTGCTCTCCGCGTCGAGTCATTGCCGGTGTCCCCACGTGTCCCGACCTTCTCCCGGGACCAGCTTCTCGTCTCGAGCCTTCCTGTTGACGGCGTCCCCGGGCCCAGCGAGGGTCCCCCGGAGGCGGGCCGCGGGCGGGGATGCCCGACGTGCTCTCGCAGTGCGGTGGGCGTCGGGACATCCGGCATGACAGCGGCGGGCGCTTGAAGAGAGCCCCGGGTCGGAGGGTTTCTCCGAAGGGCTCAGGCGACCCGTTCTCCTCCTCCTCCTCCTCCTCCTCCTCCTCCTCCTCCTCCTCCGCCTCCTCCTCGGGTCGCCTGCGGCCCCGGGGGAAACCGTTCACCGTGCACCTCAGCCATGGACGCATGGAAGTTGCCTCGGGACCCACGCCAAGTCTACCGTCGCCTGGTTCCGTGACGACCTGCCCTCGAGCACGTGGTGTTTTGTGAGTGAGGCTCTTTTTTCCCCCTCTGTCCCTCTCCCTCCCCCCCCCTTTTTCCCCCCCTGTCGCCCTGCCCTTCGCCGTCCGGCCTGTCGGGTGCTGGCGCCACTGTGCGACGCCCCGCTGTCCGTCGTCGGCTCTCCTTGATTTTGCTCGACAAGCTTGCATGTGCGGTCGACCTGTCGACAGTGACAGCTGGGTTCGCAAATCATCTGGCTCTGTGCCCCAGTCTGCCCGTTTGGCCCGCCCTCTGGGTCGCTCTCTTCCCGCGCCCGTTCGCCCGTGTCGACGCTAAGATGCGTCTCCTCGCATTTGCTCGGCATGCTTGCATGTGCGGTCGGCTGTCGACAGTGACGGCTGGGTTCGCAAATTATCTGGCTCCGTGCCCCGGTCAGCCCGATTGACCCGCCCTCTGGAATCTTCCATGGGGCCGCAGATCAAAAAAAACATCCCCACCAGCCCATCCATAAGCAGATCGCCAGGCGAGTTGCTTTGATCAGGGAAGTGTAGAAGAGTGCAGTGTAACAAGCGCCTTGGAAGCGTTTTCTCGGAGGTCTCTTGGAGCCATGTTGGGGCCCTTTTGGGATCATCGCGGAGCCTCTCGGGACACTCTTGTGACCCCCGTGGGGTTCTATTGGGGCTGTTTTGGGTCTCGTTGGACGGGTCTGGGAGGCCTTTGGGGGCCATTTTGGCTCCCATAACTGAAAGAGTAGGAGGTGATGAACTTAGCCCCCCCCCCCCCTCGGAGGCTCAACAAGTGCCTCTTGGGGCGCTCTTGGGGCTGTCTTGGGGCCCTCTTGCTCCTGGGGCTCTCTTGGGCCGTGTTGGGGCCATCTTGAAGCTTCAACGGCGCATCGGAAGCGAAACGACGATACCCCAAACACACACACACATACACACACACACGCGCGCGCACACACGCGCACACACCCACACACCCACACACACGCACACACATGCACACACCCACACACCCACACACCCACACACCCATACACCGACACACCCACACACCCACACCCACACACACCCACCCACACACCCACACACCCACACACCCACCCACACACCTACACACCCACACACCCACACACCCACACACCCACACACACCCACACCCACACCCACACCCACACCCACACCCACACCCACACCCACCAGCCCACCAGCCCACCAGCCCACACCCACCCACCCACCCACCCGCCCACCCACCCACCCACCCCCGCGCGCGCGCGCACGCGCACGCGCACGCGCACGCGCACGCGCACGCGCACGCTCACGCTCACGCTCACGCGCACGCTCACGCTCACGCTCACGCTCACGCTCACGCCCACGTTCACGCTCACGCTCACGCTCACGATCACGCTCACACTCACACTCACACTCGCACTCACACTCACACTCACACTCAAACTCACACACACTCACACACTCACACACACACACACACACACACACACGCACTCTCACACACTCACACACGCACTCACACACACACACGCTCACACACACACACACACACACTCACACACACACCCACACACCCACACACCCACACACCCCCACACACTCACACACTCACACCCTCACACTCACACACACACCCACACACTCACACACTCACACACGCACACTCACTCACACGCTCACACACTCACTCACTCTCACTCGCACTCTCACTCTCACTCTCACTCGCTCTCACCCACTCACTCTCAATCTCACTCTCACTCACTCTCACTCACTCACTCTCACTCACTCACTCACTCACACACACTCACACTCACACACACATATTGTTTTCCTTCGGTGCTTGAAATATGTAAATATGTTGGCCTCTGGGGGGGAGTCCTTGGAGCGCTCGGAGGGCCATTGGAAACGTCTTGGGGCGTCTTGGAGATATGTTGGGACTATCTTGGGCCATGTTGAAGCATCTCGGGCAAGTTTGGAGGCCATCTTGGGTTCTCGGGGGCCCTCTTCGAGCCATCTGGGGCCGACACGCACCCTTGACACCTCGTGGGGCGCCCCGTCCAAACCCAGGGGGGGGTATGGGGAGGGGTAAACCCCTAACCCGAACAGGGGAAACCGAGGGTATAGAAGAACGGAAACAACACTCGCTAAACCACCTACGCCCAGAGGGCCAATGGCTTCTTGCATGGGCCCATGCAGAGGGAACCTCGAAGGAGTGGGGGAATGGGCGGCGGGCGCCATTGCAACATCGTTGGCGCGCTATGGTTTTACACTGGTCCCCCCCATACGAAATATTTTGGATCGTTGCACAGGTTTCGGATCCTGTTCGAGCCGGGCTCCTCCCCCCGCATTAATTTATCGCAACAGTTTTCGTTACTGGTTACTGTCTTTTCTAACTTCGGGCAGGCTTGGAGTGCGCTTCAAGGTGGCGTCCCTGCTGCAGCGTGGGCCTCATGTCAGGATCGGCGCCGTGCTCCCGTCGTTCAGAAAGGCGCTCTCGCGTCAGCGCGGGCCACATGTCTGGATTCGATTCCTTCGTTGTTGTGGTTCCTCCCTCTCCTGTTCCCTCCTCCGCCTTCCCTGGTCCTCCCGCTCCTCCCGCACCTCCCACATTTGTTGCTGCTGCTACTCTCCTTCCTCCTCCTCGTCTTCCTCCTCCTCCTCCTCCTCCTCCTCCTCCTCCTCTTCCTCCTCCTCCTCCTCCTCCCCCACTCCTCCTCCTCCTCCTCCTCCTCCTCCTCCTCCTCCTCCTCCTCCTCCTCTTCCTCCTCCTCCTTCTGGCACCACCGCTGCGCGACGCGCGTCGTGTCCGAGCCCGTCCACCGCGCTGCGCGCGCCTGCGGCCGCGGCCGTCGGCGCCCGCGCACGAGGAGGAGGAGGAGGAGGAGGAGGAGGAGGGGGGGGGGGGGGGGAGGTGTGCACCATTTGCCACCTGCTGAGCACGACCTTCCAGGGAGGGTGGAGCGGGGGGGGGGACGACACGACGGCCCGCCCGAGGGCTTTGGAGCTTGGGAGCCCCCGCCGCTCCCTCGGGCGGACCATCTGGCGCCAAGGGTAGGCATCTCCTCCTCTTCCTCCTCCTGCTCATCCTCCTGCCCATCCGCCATTACATCCTCCTCCTCCCCGTCCCTTGCGCAGAGATCCAGCTCTTCTCTCTGAGTGCGCTTCACTCCTTGGGGTCACATCGGGGACCCAGGTCGGCTGGGACACCCATCGGCGGAATAATGGTTGGGTGGGAGTGGTAAGGTATCAGATATGGCGCGCGTGTAGCTTGTATGACAGCTCTCTCCCAAGATGCTCTGCGAGCGGGTCGCCACTTCTCCCCTTCACGGAGTTCAGGATGCAAGCTGTTTGTTTTGTCGTTCCATCTGAGTCTCTTACATCAGATAGTGTGTTCTCGAAGTGATGTTTCACTTCAGCGATGCTTTCATTTCAGGATCGGCGCTCCTGCCGCCGACACGCACACTGGCGCTCTCGCCCCAACGCGGACCAACTTTCTGGATCCGATTATGTCCGCGTCGTTCCTGTTACTCCCGCTCTTATTATTCGTGCCGCTGCTATCGCTACAGCTGCCGTTCCTCCTCCTCCCCCTTCATCATCCGTCTCTGGCTCATCCTCAAACTCATCCGCCATCTCCTCCTGCAGTGCACACAGCTCCACTTTCCAATTGCGCATCACACGACGACGGGGGGGTCACATGGGGTATCCAGGTATGCTACGACATACCTCCGCGGACCTTAGAATATGGGCCATTGCACTTGGAAGTGATGGGTGGGCGGGGTAGAGTGTCAGATCTGGCGCGCGCGCACACCCGGCTTTGCTCCTCGCCTTTCCCCTTCCCCCTGGAGGATGATTCGGGGGAGGATGAGGAGGCGTTGACTAGAGGGGGAGGCGGGGACCCTTCTCCTGACCCCCCCAACTCTCGCAGTCCAGCCTCAAACAAAAATCTCCCCTCGGCCCTCCCACCTCCCTGCCCCGACCTGCTTTGGTGAGATGAACCTCCCTGCGCCCTGCTCACTCCTCCCCCTTCTTCAAGTCCATTCTCTTTCTAGGTGCGCCCTCCAGGTCGCACCCACAGACGGGTCGGTAGGGCGGCCCAGGCATTTCGTCCGAGATTCCCCCACCACATGTGATCTACGACCCCGAGGTTTGAAGCATGGTAACAGTTACGCGGATGTAGCGCGGACAAGCTTTAACATGGGGGTTATCGCCAAAGTGCCGAGCGCATTCGTTTGAAAAACGTCAAGCAGATTTTCGGATGGAGGGCAGGTCGTTTTGAAAGTTGGCCTCTCGCTTTGCCGCGCGCATTCGTCTTCAAAGTTCGCAACACCTACACGGACTGAGGAGCGGAGATCGTTTTCAAAATAGGTTTTTCGCCATAGCCCTGGCGTATAAGGTTGCAATCAATTTTGGGGTGGATGGTGTGCCGTTTATTTGTCGTAACAGCTTGCGAAAGCTTCAGAGATGGAGGGCGGTTCCTTTTCAAAATGGGGCTTTCGCCGTATCGATGCGCAAGTCTTGCAGCAGGTACATGATTTGAGGAGTGTTCTTGTTTCAAAGGCAAGAAAGGTGAACGCACGCAACAACTTTCTGGTTGGAGGGCGGTTCCTTATCAAAATGGGGCTCTCGCCCTAGCGCTCCGCTCATTCGTTTCAAACGTTTGCAATACGTCAGGGTTGGAGGACGCTGTTGCTCAACCTGGTGAGTTCGCTTGAGGCTGCGTTTACGTCACGGACAATGAGATTGAACGTGTGTATTAGTGAGTGGGTGGATGGCGGCTCCCTAACATTTATGGGCCATCTCTTGAGTGTTCTTCGAAGTGCATGACCAGACATGTGAATTTGTGTAACAGCTTCACAGTGGGAGGGCGATCCTTTTTCAACACGGGGTCTTGGGTGGACACCTCCTCGCCGAAATGTGTGGTCATACTTCGCAGTGCGGTTCCATTTGAACCTCGGGCTCTTGCCTGAGCGGCCGGCCCGTAGGGTGCTGGTCTTTCAACGGGGAGCTTCCCGAATGAAGCAGAAGGCTTGTATGTGGGACTATGTAACTAGGATGGGACTTTGGACGTGAGGGTGGATTGCAGCACCGTTGATGCATCTTGGGTTGCCCAGGCCCTCCTTCTCCTCCCGCTCCACCCCCCCATCGTCGTCGGACCAGGAGCGCGAGGAGGGCCCTGGAGGCCTCAGGAAGGGGCCAGACGAGGCTCGTCGTCGTCGTCATCGTCGTCGCTCGTCGTCGTCGTCGTCGGTCGTCATCGCTCGCGGGCGCTCGTCCTCGTCAAACGCTTTCGGGGTCGGGGGCCTCTGGAGGCTTTCGGGTGACCTCCCGAAGGCGTGTGGAGGCTTCCAGAGGCCTCCGGAGGTCTCTGGAGACTTTGGGGAACGTCTGGAGACCTCCAGGGGCGTCGCTCGTCGTCGTCGTCGTCGCTCGTCGTCGTCGTCGTCGTCGCTCGTCGTCGTCGTCGTCGCTCGTCGTCGTCGTCGTCTTCGTCGTCGTCGTCGCTCGTCGTCGTCGTTGGTGTCGTAGTCGCTCGTCGTCGTCGTCGTCGATGTCGACGTCGTCTTCGTTGTCGTCGTCGTCGCTCGGCGTCGCTCCTCGTCGCTCGTCGTCGTCGTCGTCGTCGCTCGTCGTCGTCGTCGCTCGTCGTCGTCGTCGTCTCTCGGCGTCGTCTTGGTCGCTCGTCGTCGTCGTCGTCGTCGTGGTCGCTCGTCGTCGTCGTCGTCGTCGTCGGTGTCGTCGTCGTCGTCGTCGTCGTCGTCGTCGTCGTCGTCGTCGTGACGTCGTCGTCGCCCCCCCCGCCACCCGCCCCCCCACAACGTAACGCTCCGGCCCCCAGTGCCGTCCCGGCACTGCCGCCGTGCGCATAGGGATCCGCATGGGAACCCGAATAGGGATCCACAGGCATCCTCGATCGTCGTCGTCGTCGCCGCCCGCCCGTCGTCGTCGTCTTCGTCGTCGTCTTCGTCGTCGTCTTCGTCGTCGCCGCGGGCTGGAGGCTGGCCCGACGGGCACCGAGAAGCGCGAGGAGCCCCCGGCCATCACGACCGCGGACGTGGAGCACACCCTGAAGGCTGTTCTTGTACTTGTTCGTTGGTATCGCCGAGTTCGGGCAGATTGATCTCTGCTCGATCGTGTCGCTCATGCGGTCTTGAGCCTCGTGGGGGTTTCTCGTGGCCACGGCTGTCCGCTTCGAAACTCAGACGTCTGGGGGACCCTTTTGAATCATGAAAAAGTTTCCACCGCCTCCGTCCTCTCTCCCCTCCGTCTCCCCGTATCCCCCTCCAGTTCCCTCCCCGCCCCGTCTCTTCCCGAAATTCCCCCAACAAAAGTCAGGCTGCTCAGGGAAGGAGGAGAACTCGGGGATTCACCCAGTGGGGCTATCCGGAAGCACTCATAACGAGGGGACCTTCCCGCACTGCATATCTTGTATACCCTCTAGTTTGACACAGAGTTGTTTGTCCAGTCGACCCGCCCTCCCCCCCCAAACTCGGGGACTTGGGTAGCCATACCCCCGGCTCCCCCCCGAACCCCTGGGCCGTCGACGCAGGGTCTGGCTGGCTATTCCCAGAGGCGTGCCCCGTGGCGGAGTTTGCACAGAATTGCACGTTGACCAGGAGCGAAAGGAGGACGTACGCGTACATGAATCCACCATGTTCTTGAGAGCATGTATTGCGTCAACGTTCGTATCACGCGGCTGGTCACGCGGACTGGGGGGTTGTGTTCATGTACGCGGTTGGGCGCGTACGTCCGTTGTGTGTTCCCTAGTGGAATTGCTCAGAGCAGCTCTGGAATAGAGGGAAGGCAGGGCCCGTCACTGGCAAGCGTACAAAGAGGGCCATGTCAGGTCTTTGCTGTGGGAGACCGTCGCAGGCTACGCCAGGGGAAACACCCAGAGCTAAACGAGCGCTCGCACGTTGAAGTTCGACAATCATATCGATACAGTCCTAGTCCACATTGAGAAGAAAGAAGCAGCGAAAAGGTTCAAGTCATCGAACAGCGACCCCTCCGATCACCTTACCCAGCCCTCGACGACGGCGTCGAAGTGGTCATCTCGGTGGCGCTCTGCTGCTGCTGCTGCTGCTGCTGCTGCTGCTGCTGCTGCTGCTGCTGCTCGCCTAAAAAGTCCTCGTCCTCGTCCTTCGCGTCCATCACGTCCACGTCTCCCAGCGATAACCCGGCCAGACTGCGTTCGCGATTCGATTCGACCGCCTCTCGATCCGCTTTGCCCTTCGACCTGGCTCCTCGCGATTCGGCTCCCGGCTCGATTCGCCGGCGATCTGCAGCGAGCCAGCTCCGAGTGTTGCGAGCACGATTCTCCGATTCGATGCAGGCCAGGCCTGCCAGGCGCTTGCGAAAAAGACACCTTTGTCGGACGGGGCTAGGACGAGGATGAATCCGTTCCAGAGCGTTTCGGAACGCTCTCAGAGCGTTCCGGAACGATCTGAGAAGGACGCGGCCCGAGACATTCTCTTGAGCCGCGGGATCTCAGACATCCTCCTCACCCGATTCGATCCTCGTCCTGGCTTCGTCTTAACCCTCAACATCTGCTGGACGATCTCGGAGCGCCTCGAGCAGGCCTCCGGAGGCCTCCTCTACTTGCAGCGGCCTCCTCTCGAAGCCCCAGGGAGGCCTCTCGGAGGCTTCCGCGGGGGCCTCCGCGGGACACGACGCGCGGGCGACGCGGCCCGGTCGGAGCGAGGCGGGCGGAGCTCGGGGGCCTTGAGGCGGAGGTCAACGCAGACGGCCTGCGTTCTGCAGGTGGAGGCACAGCTCACTCGCCTGACGTGTTGCGCTCATTTTGGCCTCCATGGGGGGCGACGCCAGCTGAGGGCCCCGCCTTCCTTCACTGACAACTCAACATATGGCCCCAAGGCGGGCCGCCAGGTCCCGCGCACGATGCTCAGCAGCACGGTGCCTGTGTCGTGGTTGACGTGAGAGAGAAAATCAGGGCCGCCACCGCCGAGCTGCAACGCACCTGGAGTCCGCCTCTGCAGGAGCCCTGGGCAGAGCGTCACATTTTGCAGGATCCTGCAGGGCCAGGATGCAGTGACCCGTGCAAGCATGCAGTATCCTGGAGGATCTAGCAGGATATCTTGAATGGCCTGACTGACCTGGCTTTTCAGTAGATCCCCGAGGGCTTCAGGGGAGGAAGATGTACCAATACCGCTATTCCACATTTCGTAAAAAGTGTGTGTGTGGGGGGGTCACCTTTGGAGGGATCTGATTTGAGCGGTCTTGGAGGGTCCGGGGGGGTCTGGGCAAAAGGCCGCCAGTTCAGATACATGGCTAGTCCAGGAGGGGTCTAACATTGCACGTCTAGAAGTGTTGTGATCTCCTCCCTTTTGGTGCAAAATGTAGAGTGCCCGTCGCCCAGTTTCCGCTCTTTCGGCCTCCTGGGAGGCCCTTGTCGCCACCGCTGGATTCGCCTCGAAATCTTGGTCAGAACGCTCCCCGGGAGAGGCCCGGGGAGCAGCGGTATTGGCTCCTCTTGGTTTCCCCAGGAGCGAGGCCAGAGCGGAGCGAGGCGAACCACTCCCCGGGGGATGGGCGTGGGAGCTCCGGGGCCACCTCCCCGACCCCATCCCTCTCCCAGGAAAGAGGCGGGGAAGAGGAGGGTGGACGTGGGAGGGGGACTGGAGTGGGTGGTGGTGCACACTCGTGGGGCCCGCGGGGGCGGCGCCGCCGGCTCGTGGGTGGGCCCCCCCCCTCCTTGAGAGGCGGCGAGGGCCATGGACGCGTTCCACCGGCAGGCGAGCGGCGCGAGCGAGGGCGTGGCGGCGAGGGGGAACAGCAGGGGCAGCGCTGGCTGACGCCTGCGCGCGCGACGGCCGCCCGCCCTCGTCCGGGGTGCCAAAGGGGGGGGCATTCGGCCGAGGGGGTCGAGGATCCGAGGGATCTTTTCCTCGGAGGAGAAGCAACTGCATGAACACAAACTTTCGACGCTCCGCGCGGAGCGCCGAAAGTTTCTGTTCATGCCGTTTGTCGGCTTGGTGTTCCTCTAGAAAGGGAGGGGGGGGCATTCGGCCGAGGGGGTCAAGGCTCCAAGGGAGCCTTTTCCTGCCCCCCCCCCCGCGATAACTGGCATTACCGCTGGGAGGGGGAGGGGGCGGTGACGTCACGTGTCGCGCTGGCGCCGTCTGGGCAGGCCTGTACAGGAATGACCAAAGGCAGCCCAGAGGTCAGCACGAATCGTGCCGTGACCGGGGGGGAGAGCGGGGGGCGGCGGCCGGGGCCGGTAACGACCGCTATCGCGACAGACAAAAAACGATACCAATCCTAGCATTTGAGTTCCATCTCTTACGCGGCCGATCCCGGGGACCTCAATAGGGCCTTACTGGGCTCCAACAAAAGTTTCACCGGAAACTCTCAACAAGAAAATATGTGTGTACACCATCGGCGAAATGAGTTGTTGCGCGCGCTCGCGCCGAGCGCTCGCGCGCGCGAGATCCCAAGTCGTTCCCGTGGCCACAACATTTTTCCAGGAGTGCCTGAAGCCAAATGCGATAACGTCCAGCCGACTGTGGGATGACGCCACCCCAACACGATCCCGCCATGGATTCTTGACCTCTCAGGCCGACCTCGAAGATGACCAAACACATGAGCCACGAGTGACGCCGAGATGGCTCGATGGCAACAAGATGGGTCCACGCGCGCCCAGGGTGGCCCCATAATGGACACGCGACGGCTGCGCGATCCAAGCATGACCGACACATGATCTCAATATGACCTTAAGACGACCCTGACACGCCAGGAATGCTGCAACTTCGGAGCCCAAACCTACTTCGAACCGATCCCAGCATGGCGGGATCCGTGAACGACCCGGGATCTTTGTTTACCTTGTTTTTAATGGGTGGGATTTTAGCATGGCTGAACTAAAGTTATATTTGTAAAGGGAGTAAGTTATGAGCGGTGTATGGTCGTGAGCGTGAAGCGAGGGGGAGGGGGAAAAAAAAAACAAAAAAACAAAGAAAAAAAAAAGGGAGTAAGTTAGGCGGGATCCCGCCCGGCCCACGGCAGAAGACTACATTGCTAGGCTTCTACGGGGGGTATGGGGGCTCGGACGGGGCGTCATTTACTCCAGCTGTCTTCCGCAAGCCTTCCGACGGCCTTCCGCCGTCTTCCGCCTCGCTTTACTTCCGTCGGCTTCTGCAAGCGAGCGATGTGACGAAAATTCAATGAATTTTCACTGGCTCGCGCTAACGGGCCAGAGTGCGGGATCTTGCAGGATCCTGAAAGGCTGGAGTTTTGTTGAGCCAGGGTTGAGAGCCAGTCGCGGCCCCATGAGGTGGTCTTACATATTGCATGAGCCCGGGTTTGTGCAGCTCTCCCCAAAAGATGCACCGCAGATTTTCTTGAATTGGTTGAGCCAGGTGTTGCCTAGAATCAATCATCGGGGTCCCATCGCCGAACTATCTCCGATGCATCGTCGATTCTAGGACTGTGCTTTCCCCCTCTGAGCCGATCCCCCCTTTATCAGCTCCCTCCCTTCCAGGCTCGTGCGCCCACAGAGCGTAACGGCCGCGCCTGCCATGCAGCTGTAGTTATAGTGGATGTTTAGCGTCTAGCGCTTTGTGTGATGGCACCGGGTTCGCTAGCAGACTTGTGCTGACCATTGCGGGGCGCGGCTTGCACATATATGCGCTGTGCTTACGTTTCTGCCTCCTCCGTCTTTGTTGTAGATGCTGTTCAGGCTGGCAGGCGGTGCCGATTTGTTAGAGGCAGTCTAAGACTTGGCGTGTCCACGCATATTTTACCAGCGGGGATGCTCGAATGGTTGTTTCAGGTTGAAGATTGATGATGCGGTTGCAGCCTTCTTGCTGAGCCTGATTTCGCGATTCCAGTTGGGCTGCTATGACTTCTTGGAATGGTCGCAACATGCTTTATTACATGGTGTTTTTTGAAGGTGTAAACATGATGAAATAAAACGCGATGTAGCCATTCTGGCTTGATGGTTCCTTGCTGCATAAACCAGTTTGATTCATTTTTGTTGCAGAGGTTTTCCCTTCCCTTATCCAGACCGTGCGTCCCATGAGGCTTGGCACGCGGATACAGACAGAGACGAGTGTGGGAGGCATTCCAGAGGCGGAATCAGGAGGGGCTGAGGGGGAGGAGGGAGAGAACATTGCCGCGAAAACCCATCAGACCTCCGTGGTTCTGTTTATCCTGGCGGGGGGGCAGGGCTCTCAACTCGGGTATGGCCAGGACCCCGGGTAAGGGGACCCGGTTAGTGGTAGGGCCCCGGAGCCCCTCAATTGGCCAGAATCACGAAACCAGGTCTGCCGTGTAGCTGGTGTGTTTCGGGTGACGGAAGCTCCGGTTAGTGGAAGTGGGGCGGGGGGGGGGCGCCCCCGGTACAAATCGCCAAACCAGGTTCCACTGCACCCAGTTCTGCCAACGCCCGACCAGCGCCCGTCTCCAGGGGGGCGGCTCTTCCCTCGCGGGCCCCTGCTTGGTGGGCCCCGCGGCCCGAGCGCCGCCGTGCATGAGATCCTGGTCTGCACAGGTCCCGGCCTGCCTCCCGAGGTCTCTGGGGCCCCCGGAGGTCTCCGCAGGAGGGCCCCCGGGGGGGAGGAGTCTCGGGAGGCCTCCCGAGGCTTCGAGAGCACGACGTCGGCTGAAAGCCGGGGTCTTCGAGCCTCGCCGTTGGGCAGTTGCTGCTCGCCCGGTGAGCTCTTCGCCCCGGGGGGTTGCCCCCGCCAGGCCCAGGGTGTCGTCGCCGAGAGGCTGCAGGGGGGATGTGTCGTCCTCGAACTTCCAAGCTCGCTCACTTCCTCCGCCGCCGGACTCGTTTCACCCCTCGAGGGGCAGAAAACTGCATGCACAGAACCTTGCGGAGGTCCGCGGGGATTTTCGTGAGGCGGCGCTGGCTGCCCCCGGCGGTGCCTCCATCGCCGCCCCCCGGCATGCTTCGCGCGCTGGTGGAGCGGGGCCCAGCGCCGACCCCGGAACTCCGCACGGACCCCCGGAAGTCTCTGTCCACGCCGCCTTCGTGCCCCTCCCTCTCTCTCCCCCGCGGCGCGCCGCCGAACACGTCGCCGAGGGCGGCCGGCTCTGCCTGGCCCGTCAAAGCGCGGGGAGGCCGACGCTGGCCCGTGCTCGCCTGGCGCTCGGCAGCCGCACGCGCGCGGGCTGCCGCCCACCTCGCGGCGCGCGGCCGCGCCCAGGGCTTAACGAAGCGACAATGGGCGCTCGCGGTCCACAGCTCGGCCCGCCCGCCCGGGGGGGTCCGTGGGCGTCCGGGCCTTCCCGGAGCCCCTCGGGTCACGAGCAGATCACGGCGGGAGGTGCTCTGTTTTCTTTTGTGCTCGGGGGGGGCCCTCGCCGGGCCCCAGGGCCGTCAACAAACTGACTCAGGTTGAAAAACCAGTCCTGGGGAATAGGTCGACACCTCTGGGGGTCGAAGTCATGCAATGATCATGACGTCGGGGGTCTGGGCTCCCACATGGGGTCGGAGTAGACGGGGTCGGAGGATGGCGCCGCATCGCCGATGCATTTGCGATGCGGCTCGATGCGGAGTCCGTTTCTCCTAGCGTCGGCATCGCCGATGCATTGGTGATGCGGCGCGATCCTTCGACCCCATCTACTTTGACCCCATCTACTTGGACCCCATTTGAGAGGCCTCTAGGGAGGGCCGCGGCTGGGCTGCACATGAGCGACGCAAAACAATGGGTTCGAATGCGCGGACATTCGCGCGCAAGCTGCTCGCTTAACGTCGTATGTACGTGCCCTCTTTGCCAATTCAGCGTGCCGCGCTGGCGGCCCGAATAAGCGGCGGCCGAAGGCGGCTAGGCCATTTCGTGTAAGACCCTCTTGTGTTCGTCGCCCATGTGGAGGGATATCCTTTTGTGCGCGGCTCTTGCGGGACGCAGGTGGTGTCAAGCCCAAGTCCGCAGGCCGCATGCAGCCATGTGCAAGGCGCGCATCAAAGGTCTAGCCCCCTGGCGGCGCCTCTGGCGTCACGCCTCGCTGGCGCGTTTGGTCCAGCGCCGACCCGAGAATTCAGGTGGACCTCTGAGACTTCGCCCATGTTTTTTTCCATGGTCTAGAAGTGGGAGGGCCAAGACGGGGAGGACAGAGAGATCGAGGGGAGCAAAGCGACGCCGGTGCATCACACATCCTGCTGGTTCGGAGACCCAATCTTCCAGGCAGGTGGCCAACGATGGAGAGGTGTGTTGGCTGTTTTTCCTTCAGGTAAGCCTTTGAATACCCAGATGAGGTGTGCATGGGAGGAAAGGCTGCGACAAAAAGCTGGCGGGGGGAAATACCATAACTATACAGTGCCCCCTGGCCCAGCCTAGCATCGTGCACGGTCCGTGGACCAGAGGCCTTTTGAGGTCTAGAAGAAGCTTCCTGAGGCCTCCTGGGGGCCTCTTGGGCGCCTCTTGGGCGCCTCTCCGTGGCCTCTTGGGGGCCTGCTGGCGGTATCGAGTACCGCATGGGTGAGGAGCGCCCTTCGGGCCTCGTCGAATCCTCGTTTTCGGCTCGCCAGCGGCCAGGTATGTCAGTCCCGATTCCTCACACGCCTGGACCTTGTGGCCATTCTTCCTGACGATGACGGACGCTCGCCCTGGGCGAGGAGGGAACGACCAGCTGCAACTATTGTGCCGTGGGCTCCATGGGCAGCATTGCTGGCTCCCCCGCCGAGCTGTAGGAGGGAGGAGGATGAGGAGGAGGAGGATGAGGAGGAGTAGGAGGAGGAGTGGGAGGAGGAGGAGGGGGAGGAGGAGGAGGAGGAGGAGGAGGAAGGTCGAGGATGAGGAGGAGGGGACCTGGCGACCCAGGCGGCGGGGCTCCTGCTTCAGCACCGCGGCGCAGACGTAGTCGATCCGTGCCAAGTCGCCAGCTTGCTCCCGGGACGCAGCAGCAGCCTACGACGCCAAGCTCCTCATATCGGGAGTTGGCGCCACTGGCTCACCCGTTAGCGCACGAGCAGCGCTCGCGCGAGTGCTGCCGCCTGCAAGTCCGCCTGGGCGACCGAGGCTATCGCAGCCACGAGGAGCTCGCGCCCGCTGCCTGAGCTGGCCTTTGAGTGCAGAGCCTCGCGCGCGTCCGACGACACGCGAGGCTTGCAGAGCTGGTCGGCCCGACGACCTCCGCGTTGCCGTTCGCCGCTGATTTCCAGGGGGCGCTGGCGGGGTTGCTGCCAGACTTGTGGACAGAGCCGGCCGGGCTGCCGTCGGGCCTTTGTCAGAGATCTCTGCGATCTCTCATGGCAATTTCCAGAGGGGGCCCACGCACAGGCTGGACTGAACCACTACGCCGCCTTGCGAGCGGTGGACCAGGCCATGTGCTACCGCGCCGCCGCGTGAACGCTGTTTTGCAAGGACTGTGCGCCGGCGGGCATCAGAGGCAAAGCAGAGATCAGCGCCACTGAGAAGCCATCGGTGTGGTTGTCGACCCTTGAGCGGTGACACGCCCGAGCGTCACCCAGTACCGGACAACGCTGAGGCGTGCCACCGCCCAAAATAGATCTACCCCGATGGGTGTTCGGTGGGGGGTGGTCTTTGTTTTCCTCTGAGTGCAGCCGCTGCTGCAGCCGCGCTTGCTGGCGAGCGGGCGTGGCAACTCTGCGGCTGGCCGCTCTGCCGCAGGGTGCCACAGCAATCGCGGCGTCGCGACGTCGAGGGCGTGGGCCGCCCGGCAGGTCTAGAATTCGGGTGCTGCTAGAAGTGCCCCTGGCCGAAGGTGACCCCAGGATTTCCGAGCAGGCCCCCCGCGGCCTCCAGAGCACCCCTCGCGAGGCCCCCCACGGCCTCCAGAGCACCCCTCGCGAGCCTCCAGAGCACCCCCCTCGCTCCTCGGAGCACCCCACGGCCTCCGGAGCATGCCCCGACGGTTCCAGCCTGAGCCCTGCCGTCGGCGGCGCTGCACCGCGACTGGCCGCGGCGCGCGCCGCTGCGAGGAGGGCGTTCGGATGCAACTCCTGGGAGGTCAAATTCTGATTTTGCCCTGGTCCGAAATCCGGCCTAATCCGGCTTAATCCCGCTCAATCCAGCTTCATCCCGCTCAATCCCGCTCAATCCCGCTGAATCCCGCTGAATCCGAGGCCCGCTCCGGCGCAAATGCCCCCCCTAGGAGGCTTCATCCTGTTTAATCCTTCCGACGAAAACCTCCTAAAGGGTTGCCTCCCAGTAGTTGCCTCCCGACGAAAACCTTCCGACGAAAACCTCCCAGTAGTTGCCTCCTAAAGGGCGCCCTGCCGTCGCGCGGTGCGTGCGCCCCCGGCGGGGGGGGCCCCCGCCGTCGGGGGGCCGAGCGCCGCGGAGGCGCGCTCCTCGGCCTCGGCGTGCCGCGCGGCGGCCGCGCCCCGACGCTCTCGCGGAGACGTCGCAGTCCGCTGCTCTCAGCAAGGGCTCCCCCGAGGGCGCGAAGTTATTCGCGCTTCGCGCTTCGCGGTCCTCGTTTCTCCTCCCCCTCCTCCTCGTCCTCCTCTTGTCCCTTTGGGGGGGGGGCGGCGCGAGAGCGCGAAGTTATTCGCGCTTCGCGCTTCGCGGAGCGCGAAGCGCGAAGTTGGGAGCCCTAGCTACTCTCAGGAGGGAAGAAAACACGCAGACACAATTCATCGTCGGTTCCCCAGAAAGTGTGGGAAAAAATCTGGGAAGTGGGGGGGAAGACAAGACCCCCGAAAAAATATGGGAAAAGATGGGGAGTCCTTCTTGTTTGTGTGTGTTTCTTCGTGTGTCCCAGGGCCCCTTCAGTTACGCCGTCCCGGGGGGGGGGCGAGGAGAAGGGATGAGGATGGGGAGGAGGACCTGGCTGGTTTCTTGGTGCCAGCGGGGCGTCCTGCCCCCCCCCCTTCGTGGGAGGGGCGGGGTGGAGGAGAGCGGGAAGGAAGGGAGGGGGGAAAGGAGACGAAGGAGGGGGGAGGGTGCGGAAGGGACAGGGTATTGACGACGATGTTGTTGATGATGATAACGATGATGATGACGGTGGTGATGATGGCAATGATGCCGATGATGACGTTGGTGGATGTGATGTTGGCAATGGTGATGCTGATCATGGTCATGCTGACGCTGGTTATGATGATGCGGAGGAGGAGGAAATAGAGGAGGAGGAGGACGAGGAGGATGATGATGCTGTTGTTGATGATGATGATGCTGATGCTGCTGATGCTGCTGCTGATGATGGTGGTGGTGGTAAATGGTGGGTGGTGGATTGTGGTAGTGACCATGTTGGCTTTCAGTGTGAATATGGTGATGAGGACGATGGTGGTGATGGTACTTGTAAGTACGGTACGGACGACTATGCGGATAATGGTAATGTTGATCACGATGAGGAGGAGGATAAGGGGGAGTAGAAAGGGGCGAGGATGAAGAGGGAATCTGAGTATGGACGAGGGTGTTGTCATGATGATGATCGTGGGGGAGGAGGAGGACGGCGAGGAGGAGGACGGAGAGGAGGGGGAGGAGGAAGAGGAGATCAGGAGCAGGAACAGAAACGGGATGAGAGGGACGAAGTCCCCTAATGGCGTGACGATGATTCTCCAATTGACATGCGGGGGTCAACTTGGGCAAATGCGGATGATCTGCGTTATCCGACGCAGGTCCAGACGCATCGCCAGAAGCCAAGAGAGATCAACGCCAATCTGTATAGACCGTGGGGGCCCCAGGGCGAGCCGACGGACAGCCGAAGCCCCCAAGCACCCCAACGAGAACACGACTGAGCACCCGGGAGAGGAACCAGAGGCCACCCAGGCCGCGCGGAGAGGTTGCCGGACGGAGGCGCTCGCCCCGCCGGCGCTTGGCGGTGCGCGAGCTCGTTTCGGGCTCGTTTTCCAGCCCGGCGGCGGCCTCCGCGGTGCGTGGCGGCACGGGCGCGGCGGCCGCCGGCTCGGGTGGGCCGAAGGCTCGTGGCGGACGAGAAGGGGGGGCGGAGCGTGAGGCCGGGGCGCGAGGCCTTCGCCCCTCGCGCGTCGCGGTTCGTCTGCGATCCCTCGTCTTCCTCTTCTGCCCTGGGGGGCGGCGCGAGAGCGCGAAGTCAGGCGCCCGAAACATCACGACGGATGTTTTTTTTTTTTTTTTGTTGTTTTTTGTTGTTGTTGTAAATTTTCAGCCCAGGGGCCCTCACCGGGCCTGTGGACCGTTAGAGCGACACAGGATGAGAAAAGCCTGTCCCGGGGAACGGGTCGAGGCCTTGTCGGGACGGTGCTATTCAGCCACGCGCAGACGGGGGTCGAGGGAAGAGGGAGGGATTCTTAGAAACATCCTTGTTCCTTAGGCGCGGGCCTTGTCTATAGATGTAGGGCCGGCGCCTTCTAAGAAGCGGGTTTCTTCTAAGA